AATACAATAAATACTGAATGCAATCATAGAGCCAAACATAGATATGAAATTTCAATCATTCATCACCCAACCCTATGCAGTATAAATACTCATTCCCACTCTGCTCCCCTCCCCCTGCCAACACTATCCAGCAAATTAGAGTCAATCAGTATCCAGCGAATTAGAAGCCAGTGTATTGTGGCGTTCTCGCACAGCATGGGGGATACGATGTGGTATTTACAGGTGATGAGGCTGTGTGGTTGTTTGTCACTGTATGTACTGAAAGTGCAAGGATGAATAGAAATACAGAGAATATTGGAATGAATAGCGTACGGATTGAGAGTGTTAGAGTAGATTAAATATAGGGGTGTGTGTACAGCACAGTATTTACAAAGCCTATATATAACAATAGTAATTGCACAGTAATTGCTGGGTATTGTACAGACACTGTAGGGAGGCATTCACATAGCAGAGTCAACTGTTTATGAGTGTGATGTCCTGTGGGAAGAAACAGTTCTAGTGTCTGCTTGCTTTGGCGCACAGTGGCCTGTAGCGCCTGCCAGAGGGGAGATATGCACATACGTTTTGGCCGGGGTGTGAAGTGTCTGTGATGAACAGTGGACATCCACTAAAAGAGAGGGTTTTCTTTCCTGACATAGGTGATTATTGTCTTTTAGATTCTGGATCTCACAGTAACTTTTTTCTATATCTATATCTTCACCAGATAGGAACTGCTTTTAATTTATGCTGTATTTCAAGATGATATAACATTTGTTATTCTCACAAATTCAACACTAAACCTAAAATGTACCTATCAGAATCACTGAAATTGAATCCTACCGTAGTAACTGTTAATGCCTGGATTAGCAACCATGTGTTTTCATAAGAAACGATGCCAAGTCATGATGCTTTCACTATCCACACTATTTACAAACTCCCAAAACTGTAAGAATCCTGGGTAAAACAGCCCTACATACAGTAAGATGACAATGCAGGGTGATTAATACAGGCCTCGATTCGTCCACGGGTCTCCTCAGTTTTCATCATTAGCCTCCAGCCCTGACAGTTGTTATTCATCAATGAGAGAATGACAGAAATACTGAGAGAAATGAACATGGCAAAGAGAAGAGGAGCAAGAAAATAGAGGGTGAAGGAGTTGGAGAGAGTGAGAGAAATATCAGTAGAGTCTCATTAATGTCGGTTAGCTGTCAGCTCCATCTCTTACAGCTCCTTATAACCAGACACCACACACTGCATGGGAGACAGAGTCCAATTTGTGCAGTGATAGATGAGGTGAAAGGGGACAAATTCTGTCTCTCACTGTCTATTTCACTGTGTGTGTGTGTGTGCTGTTGGACCAAAGACAGAGAGGGATCCTCTCTAGAGTAAATAGCCTGACCTCTTCACCTCTCCTGAGTGAGACAAGTTGGGGAGTCACTTGGGATAAGACCTCCGATCGCAGAGCCAGTGTGTGTGTGTGTGTGTGTGTGTTCTCTTTGTCCTTCTAGACAATTCATTGTACTTTATATCTTTGTTGTTCACATGCCCCCCCCCCCCAAAAGTTCCCC